GGGACCCTGCGCTCCGCGGGCGGCTCGGGGCGCTCTGCCCGGGACCGCGCACCGCGCCCCCGCTCTCCCGGCCGGGCCACCACGTGGCGGAGCTGGGACGGACCAGCCGCTCGGCTCCGGGAGGCGTGTGAGGAGGGCGGAGTGACAGTCACCGTCTCGGACGCGTGAACTTCGCCTCACCGCTGCTTCCTTCCGCAGAGGCTTCGCCCGGAGGCGCAGACCTGGGGGAGCCGCTGCGCGGAGTTAACGCTTAGCGGTTCTCGGAGGGACCGCGACTTGGGACGCGCCCGAAGTCCACTTTGGGCATCTCTTCTCCCGGGGTCATCTACATTAGCCTCCCTTTTCGGTGCGATTTTCAGAAAAGGGGAAAAACTAGGCAGTCTCCAAATCTGGGGATTTTAAGTTTTTATATTAACCAGTTACTGCCTATCTTTAAAATCACATCTAAGATCCTCAGTTGGCCTCTCATCCTCTCCCCCACTCTTTGCAGTTAAATTGGTCCATTTGTCATGTTCCTGCCAGACTTGAACACTAAGCAAAAGACTTGATATTAAATATATAAGTATTAAATATATAGAGTCCATCAAAAAATATATACACACATCAGAAGAGAAATAGTAAATGTCTGGAAGCTAATATGATTACTTTTGTGGCTGTAGAGGCCCAAAGTACTAATGTGTGTATAATTTTTGGTGAACCATATCGTGTGTGTGTGTGTGTGTGTGTGTGTATTTATGATAGCATATGAAGACTTTATGAGGTCATAATTTAAATATTCTAAGAGTTGTCAGCTAGCAAGTTTTTGGATATTTTATCTGGTCAAAGCATCCTACTTGTTTATTTTGGTATTTCTTTATTTATTTCAGTGCTGGGGATTGAACCCAGAGCCTTTAGCATACTAGGAGTAGCTGGGATTACAAGAGTGGATTGCCAGCCCTAGCTGGCACAAGTGTTTATTAAACAGTGTTCACTCCTATCCACACTAATTTGTGACACCTTTCTGCAGTTCACATTGGATTATTAGTTCATGTCTCAAATTAAGTATCCCTTCTTCTTTTATTTTCCCAGACCTGTTTTCAGATGTGGCGGCATTCTTACTGGTGAATCTGGATTTATTGGCAGTGAAGGTTTTCCTGGAGTGTACCCTCCAAATAGTAAATGCACTTGGAAAATCACAGTAAGCATTTTAAAAAAGAGGTTCTCCTGGAAGTGGATATTGGAAACAATTTGAGGCTGCTCTTTAATCCTCTAGTGACAAAATTTGTTAGACTCAAATGCCTGAATAAATGAAATGTTGGATTTACTTCAAGTATTTGGGAGATTTTTATTAAGAGATATGTGGTGTCCTGGATTTGCAATTAGAAAAGACTCAAGATAATACTTGAAGGAATAAATTCTTAAGCCAGATGTGTTTCTGAAAACCCAGCCGGATTCAGTTCAATTTTATGGATTCATAATTAAGTCTATTTTCACTCAGAGGCCTGTTGTGACCTTTGGAAGTCAGTTGTTGCTCAGGCCTGCTTAAATTCCCGGTGGGAAATAAAAGATCAAAGTGCTTTGACTACTTTATACCCATTAGGGAAAGAAAAAAAGAGGGAGGGAGAAAAATCCCTACTTAATGTCCCTGGATAGAAAACATCATTACACAAGGGTGGGGAGAAGTAATGACAAGGGCTAATAAGATGCCCGAGCTGGTTAGTAATGGTTGGATTATGTTGAGTCAAGATAAAAAGCTGGATTTAGAAACAACTTTTTTTTTTTTTTAAAGTCTGGATTTAGTCTGTTAGATTGATGCATCTTAGTGTAGCAAACACTATTTCCAGTTAGTGTAGGAAATCTTGCTGTCTTCATTTTTTGATGTTGGGAAAGTGTTCGGTGTTTGAAAAGTTTTTCATTGAGAGCTTCATTTAACTACCCTCAGATTATGATTTTAAAAAGTAGCTACCTCTGACTGAGCGAACTAGCATTTCACTATTTACCATATTATACCAAACTAGTCAATAAGCATAATCTCACTGACTCCTCAGGCTCATTCTGAAAAAGTATTGGTATCCCCATTTTATAGAAAGAGAAGCCGATACCTAAAACAATTACAGGTATTGAATTGATCAGCCTCAGCCTTTATATAGTGTAAAACCTGTTTTGCAATGAGGCGTTCCACCAGCAAAGTCATTTGGCAGGCAGATCTGAGAGGTCCCACCCCATAACATAAAACTCAGTTCTTTTTTTTTATTATTATTTTATAAAAAAAGTACAAAATAGTATTAAAACAGAAAAATTACAAGTGATACAGAATTTCACTTAACAAAGTAATATAAATTTTAGTATTTTTTGTAATACATAGTGTTGTCTTCTAACCAGTTATTCATGTTACCAGATATAAGCATGTAAAATTAGAAGAACAAAGAAGTATATAAGAATGAGGAGAAAAAGGAGAAACAATTGAAAAAAGGAACATGTTTCATGGAACAAATTAAGCATTATCTGCTCCTTTTCATAGACCTGAAGAAATCCACAGTACAGTTGTCCAAACCATCCTGCTTACATACATAGATATACCTCTTTCCCTCACTTCCTCTCCTGTCTTTCTCAACTCAATAACTCTTTCCTTTTGAATAAGTTTAATCCCTTTTCCCAGTATCTATTGCATTCTTTGGTTTCCATTTTCTTTTTCAGGTTCTCACACTAAGGAGACAAGATGATGTTTGCACATGCAAATCTGGTTTATTTCACTTAAGAATATGGTCTCTAGTTGCATCCATTTACCAACAAAAGCCTCAAATTTACCCTGTTTAATAGCTGAATAATACTTCATTGTGTAAAAATACATCTTCTTTTTTCCATTCCTCAGTTGATGGGCACTGGGTTGTTTCCAGGATTTAACAATGACAAATTGCACTGCTATTAGCACGGGTGCACATATCTTGCTGTGGTATGAGATTTTCAGTTCTTCTGAAAAAGTACCCAGGAGGAAAACAGCTGGCTTGAATGGGATCTCTAATCCTAGCTTTTTAAGAAATCTCCACACTGATTTCCCTAGTGGTGTACCAGTCTGCCTTTCTACCAACAATGGAGAAAGGTTCCTTTTTACCCACAGACCCTCCAGAATTTGTTATTGGCTGACTTCTTGATGTTAGCCATTCTTTCTGGGGTCAGATGGTATTTCAGTGTTGTTTTAATTTGCATTTCTTGAATGACCAATGATTAAAACTCAGTTCTTATATGCATTAGGAGCCATCTGATGAATTGGTGGAGATTTTATTATGTTATTATAGTATATGGAGTCAGGAGAGAATATGTTGTAGACGATCTCATAGAAATGCTAAAATATTGGCCAGCAGACAGCCCTGCGGATTAAAATGCCTGCTTAGGCAGATGCAGGGACCGCGTTTGATCGCAAGCGTGCCTTGCTGGCCCCGCCCCCAGCGCATGCTGAGCTGGGTACTGAGACTGGGCATGGTAGCACATGCCTGTAATCCCAGGGCTTGGGAGGCTGGAAACAAGAGGATCACTAGGAGTCTGATCTGTGTAGTGAGACCCTAGATACATTTAAAAAAAGAAATGCTGAAATATTGATACTAACATAAATGCAAAATAATGCTCTAAACATTCATAAAAGTAACTTCTGTTTCATGTTATAGATGTGTTTTAATTATAATTCAATAGCTGTAAGTTTAAAATGATTCTAAGAAGATTTGTGGCTAAGAGGCATCAAGTCAGAATTCACAGGTTGGTCCTGTGTCTTGAGGATTTGGGGACAGTGTTGGTGTGGCATCAAACTCTGTGTTGGGGGGCTATTGTGCCGTGTTCCAGGGAATGCTTTCCTTGACAAAGCAGCAGTTTACCTTAGGAGAGGCCCAGCTGCCTTGTCCTATGGGTGCAGGGAAAGTTTGAATGCTCCATTTGGATGTAATGTGAATGTGAAGCCTGAATATTTGTTACCAGTGTTCTAGGCCAGAGCCTGATTCTGAAGGTCCCAACACCAGATTTGACTCCCTGCTGCTTAGAGAATCCAGAGATGAGTGCTGGTGAGCTAGTTAAGGAATTTATTACTATGTCCATACCCATATCCTAAGTATCTGCAGGATACTGAAAGGAGCTCCAGGATTACATCTGGAAAGGACAAAATCTGGGAACAAGAAATATACATAGTCAGGTAGACTTGGTTAGACTGTTCAGGCTGATCATTAACTTGGGTCTAGTTCTTTGGAGTCCTGCTAGCTCTGGAGAAGTCATTATTGCTTGGGAGGCAATTTGGTCCCCTCATGATGTGATCTGCCTGTAAGACTTGCCATTCCTGGAACCTGAAATAAACTGAAGATAAATGACCCATAGGAGCAAAATGAAGTCAGTCAGGGTAATGACTGGATCCTCCTTTAAATCCCTAATTTTAAAATGGACATGGTGGCGCACACCTGAAATCCCAGCACTCTTGGAAGACTGAGGCAAGAGCATCACTACTAGTTTGTGACCAACCTACGCTACAAAGTGAGTTCAAGGCCAGCCTGAACTGCATAGTGAGACTCTATCTTAAAAAGACAAAAAGAAAATCTTCAATAGAATTCAAATTTTCTTTCCATTCCTCATAAACTGTGAGACTAGGGTTTATCTTTTTTAAGCCTCAAGGTTTGTTGTGAAGACAAAATGAGATAGTATATACAAAGCCCTTCAGTTTGGTGCCTGAAAAGGAAATTTGATTTGCTACAAGAACATTATTAGGGAGGCCAATGTGGCTGGAACAGAATGACTTATGGGAACAGGGGAAAGAATGGAAGTAAAAAAAGGTGAGCAGAAGCCTGCAGGCCAGGGTGGAGTTTAGCTTTTGTTTTGAATAGGAAGCCATTGGAGGATTTTAAGCAGAGGAATGAGATTATCTAATTTTAAGAGCATTCTGGCTGCAGTCTGGAGGATGAATTATAGGGAATTAAGAATGGAAGCAGGGAAGGCTGAGGATATGGCTCAGTGGAATAAGCACTTCCTTGGCAAGTGCAAGGACCTGAGTTCAATCCCCAGTTTCACAAGAAAGAAAGAAGAAAGAAAGAAAGAAAGAAAGAAAGAAAGAAAGAAAGAAAGAAAGAAAGAAAGAAAAAGGAAAGGAAAGGAAAGGAAAAGGAGATAGCTTGGGGGCCTAAGTGCCTGCCTGGCAAGCGCCTGCCTGACAAGCGCAAGGTCCTGAGTTTGATCCCCAGTACCACATGCTGTGCCAGCCCCGGAACTCTGGACACATGATGCTGGCCCAAAACCGGCCATAGTAGTGGTGCACACCTGTAATCCCTGTGCTGGCAAGAACGAATGGAAGTACAGAGGTGTGATATATACAAGAGAAGATGGTGGAGTTATTAGGGCAGTAACAAAAAAAGAAAAAGCATGGAATCTCTTGTCTGAAGTGTTTTCTTAGTGAATCTGCATGCAGTTGGAGTAGTGATACTAGCTGAGAGGTCAGTGTCCTAGGCCTTGGCCTTTGGCACAGCCACAGTTCTATAAAGGGTTGTGCTTTGCTAGAGCCTTACCCAAAGCAGACTGTGAAACTTTTCTCTTTTTTACTTGTTTATATTAGTATGTGTGTTATGGCTTGTATCTAGATATTACCACAAAGTCTAATAATGCTTATAGGTGGGGATTTTTAGAGCTAGCTGGATCTAGAGTATGTGATGGTAGAATTAAGGGTATATAGTACTAAACTATTCCACTGATTGGTTTAGCATAGTTCTAGATGTGAATAATGGAATGTCTACCCTGGGTATAGGTGGACCCCCCAAAAAAAGGCTTGTAGATTGGGTGGGATAAAAGGGAAAGGGAGGCTCGCTTGGCTGTGCTTACTGCTACTTGCCTGCTCAACCATGGATTGCTTCTCTTCTCTTATGTCCTACTACCATGTTGCCCTGCCTTGGAGTCAGTTAATTATGGACTGAGCCCTCTAAACTGTGGACTGAAATAAACTTCTCCTCCTTTAAGTTTTGGGTGTTGGATATTGTCTCATTGATGAGAAAAGTAACTAAGACAGATTTTGGTACCAAGAGTGGGGTTGTTGGAGTAATTGTCCTGACCATGTAGTTCAAGAGCCTTTAGAACTGTCTTGTAGGAAGAATTGGGAATGATATGGAGTTTCCAGCTAAAGAAATAGCCTTAGAACTCTGTAAACTGTACTTGATGAGAGATTTTGGTTGAAGTTCAGAA